GTGTATATATATATATATATATATACACTCTCAAAAATTTTTAAATTAAATTTTGAAATGTACATAAAAAGATGTATTTAGTAAAATAATTAGCCTCATCAGGGAGCTGTTAGTTTGTCCATAAACTCTGAGTATCTTAACCTTGAGTTGATAATACCTTTAATCACTGTGGCAACTGTCGTTTGCTGTTTTTCCCAGTAATTACATTTTTTCACTTTTATGTAAAGATTCTGCCATATTCCTTTGGAAAAAAAAATCTTTTCAGTCAAAATGTAGATTTAAGTGTTTTCACTTTTAGGTTCCTGTGAAGATAAATTCTCTGAGCAGTTACCAGATTTTACTTTTACTTTAATTTTACTTTAAATGATTTAAAACAAATAAGATTAACTTATAACAGTCTGATTTTTTATATGATTTTTTAAAAAATATATATAATTTAGATTGATCTGAATAATTTATTTATAACTAATACTTTGATTTCTAAGTTAGTAAAGTGAACAGAAGTCTATATTTTATGGTTTACAAACGGAATTAAACTCCACTTTGTGAATGAACAGCTGTTTGCTGCAGTGCATTCTGGGTAAAGGTCTGGTCTGATTCTGTCCCAGAACTCTTGTGGTTCCTTCAGATCCATAAAACAAACCTAAAATGATTATTTCAGAGATTTGAGTTCAGGGTTTGTTCTGTCAGAAGGACCGTCTACAGCAGGTAAGATGTTTATAACTTACAGAGGAACTCACAACAAAGTGGAGACATTTTGTTCATGATCTTTATTAATCTGCAGGTTCTGTGTTCTGTGACAAAACCACATCAGTCCTCTGGTGCTACTGGTCCAGTTCCAGGAGGTTTGGTGGTTCTTTGGGTTCTGCTTCCTGACACGTGTCCTGAAAGAGAAACAACACGTGCGAGGTCAGTGTGTTACCTGCAGCAGACAGGAAGTCACCTGTTAAATCACATTTAACAGTCCAGGTGAACGTTAACTCTGGGCTCCAGGATTCTCCAAACTAACATCTCACAGGTGAGGTTAAAGGTTTAGACCATCAGTGGTCTCAGTTCTGGACCGGTCGGGCCAGAACCTGAACCTGTTTTCAGGGTTTAAAGAGCCTGTGACTAAATATTCTTTAAATAGAAAAAGTCATAGAAATAAGAAAGTTGGAATAATACACACAATTTAACCCATTTTGTCCCATAACCGCTGACTTTCTTTTGAACTTGGCTCAAACAAAGTGAAACAGGAAGTGACATCAAAGTGGAACATTTTAACAAAGAAAACTCTCTGGTCTTTATTGAAACAATATTTGAACTCTTCATTTCAGTAGCTGCGTTTCCGTTGATCATGAAAATGTCTAAATTAGAATTTCGAAAATAAATTTGTTCAATGGAAACACGTCAATTTTGAAAGAACTTCCTTTTTTCCACAAAATGTTTTTGCACTAGGATGAGGTGGTTTTTCAGCCGTATCAAAATTGGTGTTTTTCGCAAAACTGCAATGGAAACATTTTTGTCACATCACAGGAGTCACGTGATCAACAACCATCTGTTTCTACTGGTGAAAAAGACGGAGAAGATAACAGGAAGTAGAAGTAGTAGTGAAATCATCGACTACGATTTCCCAAAAACGCAGCATGCGTAGCAGCTCCTAAGTATAAGGGGCTTGTCACTCGAAACCCTTAGCAAAAAGTAATATATGCAAGTATCCATTAAGTATACTAATTTTAAACTTAAAATAAAAAGTATACTTCCTGTTTACTTTTTATGTACCTATCTAAGGAATATTTAACCAAGTTTATCTTACACTATACTTGGCTTGTGCTAAAAGTATATTAAAAGTTTAAGTATACTTAGTTTATACTATTGTTTAAACTTTTTGTCTAGATAAACTTTAGTAGTACACTTTTCACACAGACAGGTTTGTTTGTAATATTTCAAGATTAAACTAAAACTATACTTAGATTACTTTCAGTATACTTTCATAAATGTTTTTTGGGCCAATTTAATCCTAGAATTATATTTGTTAGTAAACTGCTTGTAAACTTTTATCAGTTTACATGGTAAATAAAAATACACTTAGGGAAATACACTTTTATATATTTCAGAATACTTAATGACGTACTTAAATTATACTTCTTTTTTGTAAGTTTATAAACTTAACAGTTAACTCTAACCTTTCATAAACTTTAAAAACATCCCAATTTAGTACAAACAAGTTTTAAATCAATATACTTTCTAGTGCACTACAAGTACATGGTGCCTAGTATACTTGATATACTTATACTTATTAAAAAGAACTTCAAGGATACTACTTTTTGCTAAGGAAAGCCTCGATAAAAGACGCCGACGTCTCCTCTGATGATGAGCGCTAGTGTCGTGGTAGCAACATGCTATGTGTTTACATCCATCGCTGCCATGTTTGTAATGACTTATCATGAGAACAAACGTATTCACGTGACTTTAATAACATTTATTACTTAATGGAAACACTGCAGTTGTGAAACTGTTTTTCGACATTAACAGAATATCGACAGTTTTGTGCACATTTGTAATGAAAACAGCTAAAAATGACTTAATAATTTAAAGAAACATCAGATTCTTCTCTACAGTTTGTGTTACTGTTTAAACTCTGTTCACATGCAGACATTCCCCTCTGACATCACTTCCTGTTTCTTCACAGGCAAATATCAGATCAACCGTTCATCTCAGCAACATGAAATTTATTTTGCGGTATTTTATCAATATTATCTTTATAAAAATGCATTCATATGAATTACAAATCTTTTTTGCCACAGGCCCTTTAAACTCTAAACTGATTTGTTTCCTCCAACAGACTCGGTCTCTGATTGGTCGACTGACCTCGAATGGCTCGGCGAAGGCTCTGGAGCCGCTGTACAGCGGGTTGGGGATGGAAACCAGCGTGGGTTTGTTGGTACTTCCTGTCGCAGCGTCTTCGTCCTCGTTCTGAGAACAGATCATCTCCGCTCAGATTTAAAAAGATAAAAACTTAATCAAACCGGCTGCTCCGAGTTTTTACATTCTTACTTTGAAATAGTGGAAGCGGAAGGCGTCCATCTTGTGTCTGAAGACGTAGTACCCGCCTACAGCCAACAGACACGCCAACACAACCACCAATATGGCCGACACTGCACCGGCGGCGTGGGTGGAGACTCTGTTGTCGCCGTGGTTCACCTGAGGGAAACCAGAACAACACAAAATGTTTGTCTTCCTGTGAGAAACAAACTAAACCTGAGCTGATGCACAAACATCTGAGTTATTTCAACTTTCAGTTTGGTTCTGGTCTCAGGAGGCGGAGCCTCAGGACTGCAGGTAACATGAGTTTAATGAAACAGGAAGTCCTGCTCATCAGGTTCAATCTGTGGTAACCATTAAAGAATAAACATTTAACCTGCAGCCGCTCGTCGTCTCACTGCGGCGGGCACTCACCGGGGGGGCGGGGGCTCTCAGCGGCGCCTCGATGACGTGGATGATCCCGTTGACGGCGGGGATGTCCCAGTCCAGCAGCAGCTGCTGGTTCACCAGCTTACAGCTCTGCAGGGACACATTAGCATCAGGGTGGTAGTAGCTGAGAGTCCTCCACAGACTGCAGAGGTGAAAACCTCCGATTATCAGGCTGTTTCATCAAACACTGTGAAGCTTTAACAGCATTTTGTCATTAAATAAGCATGAAATGATGAGTTTAGATGACGTGAACTTCCTGTTTCTGCTCTGAACAGTTTTTATTTTCTCAGATTTATTGTTTTAATGCTGGGAAGCATTCATACGTTTTTCAACATCTCACTCGTTCCACAATTTTTGTGCCACTTCAACAATTCATGTATCAAAACGTTGAGCTCTTTCATGTGAGGGCTGCTTTGACTGTTGGTATTTCAGCTTTTTATACTTTTTTAGCTATTTCACTTATTTTAGCCACTTTTTTGCCATTGGAAATGAATGGAGCTGTTTTCAACATCCTTAAAATAACTTAAATTATTTCTAAATCTTTACAGCACCTTACACATTTTGTTCTGGTTATGCTGTTTTTCACTTTCTTGAGCTAATTTTAGCTACTTTTTGCTAATTTTAGCTTTTTTCTGCTATTTCAGCTAAAATGCTGCTTTTTTCTGCAACTCTTCTGTTTTTTTCTACTTTGTTTCTGCTACTTTGTGCTATTTAGGCTTCTTATAGATGCTTTCTGATATTTTCAACAATTTGCTAAAGTTTTAGCTAATGTTTAGCTGCAATTAGCTAAAGTTATGGCTGTGTCCAAAACGGCAGGTCGGGCCCTCCGAAGGTCGAATTTGTCGGCCGCATACGTCACAGCGCCGCGACGAAGGACGTCCAAAACCGAAGACTCCTCCGATGCGTCCGACAAATACGTCCTTCCTTTTC